AGAATGAGTTGTCATATTGCACAATTTGTTTCCTGTCTTGCAGGTAGCTCCTGATCCAATTGAATGGGACGCCTCTAATTCCATAGTGATAGAGCTTACTTAAAAGGATGGAATGGTCAATGGTGTCGAAAGCTTTTGAAATATCAAGAAATATTCCAATTGCATGTTGTTTGCTTTCAAAGGCCTTGGTCAGTTTGTGTACCAAAACATTAGCAGCCATAGCAGTGGAGTGATGCTTGCGGAAACCAAATTGATGAGAGTGGAAAACATTGTTAGTTTCAAAGAAGTTTGACATTCTACTATACATTATTTTCTCAAGAATCTTAGAAAATGATGGTAAAAGACTAATAGGTCTATAATTTCCAAGATCTGAAACACTACCCTTTTTAAATAGAGGAAGAACTTTAGATGTCTTGAAGCTTTCAATGAATAACCCACTAGATAGTGAAAGATTAAATATATATGTCAGGATGTCAATGATATGTTCTGGAACGTGTTTCAATACTTTGAATGGAATACCATCAATTCCAAAACTTGACTTGGGCTTCATTTCGCGTATAATATTTTTTATTTCTAATGATGTAGTTGGCCTTAAAAACATGGATGAGGATTCTTGCTTTCCAAGATATGAAATGTAATTTTTGTCACAGCCAGCTGGTTGTGGCATACAGTCGAGCAGGGTTTGTGCCACTTGGGAAAAGTGTTCATTAAATTTATTTGCAATTTGTGTATTACTGCAATCGAGTCCAATCAAAGGACAAGAACCTGTTTTATTTTTACCAATAAGTTCATTAATTGTTTTCCACACTGCCTTGATGTTACCTTTGTGAGAGGCAAATTTAGATTTGTAATAATTTGATTTCTTTTTGTAGAGCAATCGAGTATAAAGGTTCCTGCATTCATTGAACTGTAATTTGTGCTTGTCATTTATGTTTTTATTGTTTATTAATTTCTTATAAAGTTTTTGTTTGACTTTGTTTAGTTTACGTAACTCAGTATCATACCAAGGTTTGTTTGATCTGTTTGTTTGTTTTTTGTAAGGAAAAGATTGAGAGTAAGCAGTAGAGAATTTTTCAAAAAATTTTTCAAAGCAAGTGTTGGGATCCTGGATGCTGCTGAAGTCATCAATATCAATAGAATTCAGTTCGTTCATAAAAGTATTCAAGTTGGACGAAGTAAACTGGCGGTAAAGCGTTTCAATTCTGTTCTGAATTTGCTTTTCTAGAAGAGAGCATTGTACAATTGGCAGATGATCAGAAACACATTCTGCTAAAACAGCACTATTAACTTTTTTATCATATACGTTTGTCCAAATGTGGTCTATACAGGTAGCAGAACTTGAAGTTATCCTGGTGGGGCAGTTTATCAGAGAATAATAGGCCAGGTTGTGCATAATATCAACAAATAGGCTGGTATTCATATTGGACTCATCAATAAGATTATAGTTGAAGTCACCCATTATATAATTATAATTCAACTTGTTCATCTTTGAGAGAACTTGGGACAAGAGATTCCGAAAGTTAGCATTGTTCAATTCATCAGTTAGTGGTGATCTATAAATAGTACCGCAGGTTATTGTTTTATTTTCCAATAATATGTCAATAAATATAGATTCGAAAACCTTTTCACACATTATAGTAATATCCTTGCGGACAATGTATTTCAAATCATTTCGAATGTAGAGACCAACACCACCACCTCGGTGATGAAATCTACTGTTAGTGATAAAAACATAGCCATCCAATGTATTGAAATGGCCATTTGTACCAGATACAATCCATGTTTCATTTACAGCAATTACATGAGGCTTACAATTCAGTGAATTCACTAGTGCTTCAAATTTTGTGTAGTTTTTGAAAGAGGCTAAAGATCTGATATTGAGTGAAAGAGTCATGAAACCACTTAGTTTAAAACTATCATTGAATTTGAGATCATTGACATCACTAGAGCAAATATACTGATTTGAGCTGTTGTACATGAAAACACTGTTTATGTTGTTGAATTCATCATTGTCAGTATTGGCTGACTCAAGAAACATTTGGTTTAGGTATTCAGGATCAAGAATTTTAGTAAGTGCCTGGGCTTCAGCTTTTTCTGAATGAAGGGAAGTACATGATTCTAATAATTCAGAATCAGAGAGAGAAGAGAATGGTATGCAATCTTTTTCACAAAAGAAACAGCACCAAGGCATATCATCAGCTTCAGATTGCAGGTTTTCATACTGCTGGTTAGAGATATTGGTGCATTTTAAATGTATCCAATGTGAGCAAATGTTGCAAAAAATAGCTTTCTGATTAGTTCGGACTGATTTGTGGCAATTTCTACAGGGATATTTTAAATTATGTTTCATGGTGGTGGCAAAGTAATGAAATAAAAAAATAAAAAAAGTATAGTGAAGTAAGACAAAATCTAAAATACAAAGCTTGAATACAAAGTTTCCAGGTGCAGAACTTATGGTTAAATAAGTACTAGCCTAATTAGCATAAGGAAAATAAGGGTGAAAATAAATTGAGTTAAATTATATTATCAACCCTGTGCTAAAGGCCACCACTATACCAATGAGACCAAGTTGCAAACAGTGTGCCTATTTGCTAGGTCCCATTGGGCGAGCAGCAGCCCTGGAGTACAGGGGACGAGAGAGAGTAGTGATATCATTTAAACAAGATATAACTCGCCTTCTGTCCAAGTAAGCGTATATAGTCCCATTCATTGTCGACACCTTATGCTTCCCGAATGCTTCCTTGGCAGCGGCGAGGAGCTTGAGCCTATTCCGGGTCAAGGACTCCGTGATGGACAAACCGCTGCCTTTTAGATCTTTCTTCCTACCATATATTAAATTTTTTGTCGATCTTCGGACAAATTTAATAATGATGGGGTTCTTCGGGGACTTGGATCGCAATTTATGGGTTATATCAATATCCGTGTTAACAATAGGCTGGTCAAGATTGAAGTTATTGTTCAGGGTGTTAACAACAAAGTCTTCAAACTTGTAGTACTCAGATTCTGGAACAGATTTGCAGCCATGAAGAACAACACAGTTCCTCCGGCTGTACTGTTCCTGATCATCTTGCTGTTTTTCACATAACTCCAGTCTTTTTATAATCTCCTCGATCTTAAGAGAGATTTGAGCCACATCATGCTGGAACTTCTTAACAGCTTCAGACTTGCTGCCATGGTCTTCAGTGGCAGACAGTTCATCTGAGCGTTGCATGAGCGCTTTTTGGTTGGCCTGGAGGGATGTAACAGCAGCCAGAATCTGGTTATGAACTTCGGTATTCATATTGATTTTCCGTGGAGTTTCGAGTTGAACAGGTAATTATTTCAGCAGAATCCAATGTAGTATTATGATCAGAAAGGTATATTCCGTTTGTTGATATAATCGAAGGTAGCAGGCTTTAGTACTTAAGTTAACCAAAGATTAAACTATCATCTGCAAACTTAATTATACAGCGAATAATCATCCAAGTCAGTAAGCACTGTATCGATTAGAAGATTATTACTGTATTAAGACAGGATTTCATGGTTGAGTATTTAAGTATTGCTGTATTGTGCCGCAATGATATATTGATATTAGATATCTAGATATCGCAAATAAATTCAAAAATTGCTACCGGTATTCCTTTATTCCAATTACTAAAATGTTTTCCGTAAATTGGTCTGTTGATATAATGAACAGATTGGTATTATCAAACACAGATAAACACAAATCATTATGTATCGAATAGTAACCTATGTCTGTATATTCAGTAAGTTACCGTACATGCTAACATGAGATGTTCACTGCCTGACTGCTTTAAACTAAAATTTGAAAGGTTTGAGGCAGAAAAGTGAGGTGTTTCAGATTACTGCTTTAGGGTTTTTGTGCGATACTTTTGACAATATTATGTATTCAGCCATTGTATGATTGTTTCTTATTTTTGTTTCATTATTCTTTTGCCCTGTTAAGCTAATTAGGAAATATTTGATTTGATTTGGACAAAAATTCTCCCAGACGTTGGTCAGATAAGTTTTATTTATTCGGCAATTAAGTTTTGTTTGTAGGAGATAAATTTAATGACATTCTTGTTTGCTAATCATCAACATAGGTTATACTTATATAGTGTTCAAATATTCCCGAAATGATGTCATACTATATTTTTATAAAGTTATTTTTACCCTCTAGATAAGCAAGTTTTTTTTATTAGATAGACATTTACCTCAATTCTCAGTTATTAAAGATTTTCAAAATTATGTCTTACTGTCTTATGCTCATGTTCTGGATTTTTCTTTACAAAATTGACCTGGACCTGAGCACTTAGTTTTTGAGAATAAAAGGTTCCATTTCTGTTATTATGTGTCAGTGGATTTACATATGCCTTGTTTATGGGTTGTCAGACAAAAATGGCCAAATCTGGAAATTTTCTTTATTAAATATATTCCGGAATTTATTTTTTGATATGAAATATTGAATATATTCATTTGAATTTAAATTTATGTAAATTAAACATAAATTGTAAATTAAAACATTGAATTTTAAAAGCAGAAAAATCTATTTGGCAGTGTTCCGACTTTCCATTTTACAATGTAAGGGGCTAAATGAGGTCTATTTTTGTCTTTGTCGTCAGATATTATATGATACATTGGATTTGGATCTCCCTCCTAACCCTGTATTGGCAAAATGTGACCCCATTGACCAAATCTGTTGGGTGATTCAATATGCCTGATACTACCACAAACCAAATTTAAATGTTTTAGCTAAAAAATAGCTTGAGGAATTTGTCTAGATTACGCTAAAATTTAGTTTTGGTGCAAGGTTCATTGTTTTCCATTTTACTTTTGTAACACTGTAAATAAAATTCTGTTCCAAAAATGTAACTTTTTTGTCACACTTGCCTGTCAGTTTCGATGGGCAAAATGTTAGCTCCTGGTCTAAAATCCTTGCCCACCCCTGTTCTAACATAACAAAAAATCCTGCCTTGTTGCCGCTCGAAACATCCCCTTATTTACATAACCTAATTATAAATATATTTGTGAAATCTCTGTTTCTAGGTTCCTTACTGTACAGTTCCATTTCTCATTGTAATTTATTTATTTATTCATTGTCCGCAGACATGGATTTAAAAATTATACTTGTTGCTATGACGATGGTTGCTATGATTCATTGTGAGGTGAGAATAGTTTTAATTAAATCATGACATGATTTTTTTTGTTTGGGAAACTGCGTAATTTACTAATTTAAATTTATTTTCATATCGATTTCTAACATCTTATATAGTCATAAATATCAGGAAAGTGGCCATTTTTGTTGTGAAATAAAATCAATGAAAAATCACTGAAGCACGACTTGTCAGAATAATTGCGCTGTAACAACAGTGTACCCATGCGGTCAATTATTAATGTAGAATTTTACCCTTATTCAAACTGAAAATCACTTAAGCATGACTTGTCAGAACAGTTCCATTGTAACAACAGTGTACCCATGCCGTCAATTATTAATGTAGAATTTTACCCTTCTTCAAACTGAAATCACTTAATCATGACTTGTCAGAACAGTTCCATTGTAACAACAGTGTACCCATGCCGTCAATTCTTAATGTAGAATTTCAACCTTATTCAAACTGAAAATCACTGAAGCATGACTTGACAGAATAATTCCACTGTATCAACAATATACCATTTCTGCCCATCCCTGATATAATTTTTTTTTATTCAGGATTGCAACACCGAGCTTTCTGAAACTTCTGGAGTGATAGTATCGGGGAAATACGGACATGGCATCAACTGTTCTTGGACAATAACTGCTCCGAAAGGTATTTGGATTTAAAAACTACTAATATTGGTTTTTTGCAACTCTTTTCACCCTGAAATTCAAGATTTCGTAGTTCTTATATGATGGTCATTCCTTTTGCCTTATTCCTTTTGCTTCAAAAGGGGCTTCATTCAAGCACCAAATTAAATCTATAATGATATTCGGATTTCGGATATTATGCATTCCTTACTAGTTTATTATGATAGGATAGGATTTTACATACTGTATTTATCCCGGGGAGAGATGAGACAAATAGGACGGTTTAATCATATGGCGAACCAAGGCCCCTCGTCCGTCTATCAGTACATGTTTGGTATGGGATTAGTTAGCCAGCTGTTTGTCTCAGATGCAAGGATTACGTGAACCACCCACAGAGGCGAGGAGTCCAGCGATTCTCCAGTGCGATGGCGAGGGTATTCCTAACACTTAGCAATGTGCCAATACGGCACACTGCTGAGTCCGGTGAGATTTGAGGTACGAGATTTGAACCAGAGATGTGGAATCTGCTATCCCGACACAGTCAAGTCTAACGCTTCATTCATCATACCGTTGCGGCACCCTAAATGACAACTCTCTTGTTTTTCATTCATTTCTGCAGAATATTAATTTTGACCTTTGACCCTTTCCAGGAAACTACGTCAAACTGGAATTCAACAAGGAAAAGTTTGATGTCATCAGCAAGTTCATGTCTTGTAGCCACGACTACGTACAAGTGTTTTACGACTCCGCTATCCCGAGCCCACACATCCAAACTTTCTGCAAATCGTTCGGAAATAAATTTGTCCCAAAAGACGCGATAACAAGCACAACAAATGTTCTTGTCATCAGACTTATCAGCGATAAGTTTTTCAAAAACGGGGAGGGATTCGAAGCAAAATACACTGTTGTGGATGAGTTTGGTAAGTTTCTTTTGATTTTATCTAATAGAATAGTAATAATGGGGATCTCTTATTTATCTCAAGGTGAGGAAAGATAATCAGGTGGCCTAATCATAGGGTGGAATTTTCCATTTGTACCGGGTGAAAGGAAGGTATTCCCGTAGTATGTGTACCAGGTTAGGGTTAGGCCATGATTTCAATCTGATTTTAGTTCTATTACGAGTTTGGGGTCTGTCTGTGTTAGCCAAGTGAATATACTGCGTGCCCATAGGTTTCAGTCCCTTTATATAACTTGATGAAAAGTAGACTAACAAAATTAGTTACCTCCATATTGGTACACATACTTCTGGAGCACCGAAAGGAATAACTACATGATGGTTTTATCATAAGATAGGATTTTAGTATTTATCCTTCTGGAGAAAAAGCTGACGCGATGGCTTAATTATAGGATAGAATTTTCCTATTTACTCCGGGGAAAGGAAAGCCAATTAGGGTGGTTGTTTCTTATGGTGAACCATGGCTTCTCATCTTGCCAGTCCATCTTTGGTTTAAATTCCATGCCCATCCTGTGTGTAATAGATTGGCAATGTTTAACGAAAATATCCTGGTTCATCTAAATCAGCGGTTCCCAAACCGCGGCCCGTGGTAAAGATTTAATATGGCCCACTGAACTTGGGTGAACTAGTTTAGCACTTGTGTTTTTATCTTTTTGCTATCTACATATCGCCAATTGTTATGTCATTATCACAGTTTAAGTGTATATTTGTGTAACAATTCAATTATACCAGTATCTTAGTTACATGTATTGGTATCGGCCTCTTGCGGGCTTTCCCTTCTCCTGGGCCCCGAATAATTTTGTCCCCTAGGCAATCAACTGTGGAAACCACCATTGCTCTAAAAAAATTAGCTCAGCGTTTGCTTGTTCAGGGCCATGTTCTGAGCGAAATGAGCATCATATAACAAAATATTTCTAGCCAGTTTTAACTAACACTTCCACAAACATTGACGATCTTATCCCACTTACAGGCGAACCGATTGCACCTGAAGAGACAGAAGGAGGTTTTGATGAAGATGACTGGGGAGAGGATACCACGGTTAGTTTGGATACATTTTTTTTTTGAGGTAGTGGGGAGGGGGGAGATTTAGGGGTAACGCATTTTCGGTGGTTAATTTTGAGGAAATTGGGAGTATTTTACGGGGGGTTACTGTTTAAAGTAAGCTGGATACTTTAAATGTGGCCATGAGTTGCAGAATTAATTTTTTGTTCGCATTTTCTCGTTTCGAGTTACCAGACAGCGTGGCAATTTTTAAAATACCTTTTATGGGATGTTTCTTTCCAGAGAATAAATATGAAAATCTTATCTTTGGAATCTGGCGTTGCTAGGTGTGGTGATTAAATAATCTCTGGTAGAAATTGTGACCCTTAGAAATGCTAGTCCTGAATATTTGATGTTGCTTTATAATTTTCTTTTAATTATTCTTGTGTTTATGTTTTTGATCGTTTTTGCATGTTTTGTTTTTTTTGAACTAATTTTAACCCTAATTGGTTTGAATTTACGGTAATAACTGTTTTCGGGAGCGAGATTTGCATTATTGCTTACGCTTTTATAGTAAGTTACTCAGTTACACTCTCGCACGCTCCGAGAGTCTCGAACTCTAACAGATCGATCGCTCAAATAACCAAACTCAAACGTAGAAAAACCAATGAGAATTCCCAATGAAAACTGACTGCGAGCCTTGCTCAGAGTGAAATTGTAATTGGCTCGTCAATGGAACCACCATATAGGTAAATTCGATTTTTTTGTCTAAATTTTGATTGGTAATTTCGGTTTTTCTGAATGCTCTATCATCAAGGATAATATGGTTAGTCTATAAAATATTCGCTCCAAGGTTAGAAATGACATTGGCAAATTCAACTAAAACGTTTTCATTTAAATTCTGGATTGTTTTACTTCAAATTATTATTGAATCGGAAATCGGATGGAAGGCTTCGAAATTGTGTTTCTCTCACAAAACTTGCAAAAACACACAAAATTTGCACTTTTCAAAATTTTGAATTACATGGGGATTCTCATCTGGTACTAGGGTCGACTCGTCGCTGGAAAGTATGGACTACCTATGAAAGATGAAGGCAAAAACAAGGTTGAAAAAGATTGGGATGGGAAAAAAGTGCCCACATTGGGATCGAAATCAAAGGATAGCAAAAAGAAAAACAGAAAAGGAAAGAAACGTCGGGGTAAGAAGGAAAAGAAGAGCAAAGAAGAGAGAAAACTGGAACGTAAACTTCAACGACAAAAAATGAAAGCGCTCAAGCGTAAAGCAAGGAAAGCCGAAAGGAGACGCAGATCAAAATCAAAAGCTTAAAATGGATTTTAACCCTTTATCTACATATAAAAAAAAACTTCATTAACCCTCATACCGCTACTAACAACTCATGGTTTACTACGTCAACCATCTTTGCAGTCTCCATCCAACCTGGACTTGTAATCACATGGAAAATTGCATATGATTAAGTCGTCTTTTCCGATGGTCTGAACAACTTTTTTATATGTCATAATTTTTTTTTCAAACATGCGAAAATTTTTTCTTAAGTATCGTTGGGAAGCTTGTTTTAGCCTCTTCCCACTCACTGTCACACATAGGTTTAATTGTTCTTATCGGCTTTCCTCGTTGCTGAAATAGAGACTGAAATCCTATCCTGTCTTACCCGGTTCCGACAAAACAAATTTGCTGGTGAGCATCATGAAAGCAATCTTGGTGTTTCGAAAAGTCGGCGCTTTCATTTTAAACGCTCTGCACATTGGTTGTTATGTATATATATTACGGGATTAGGAATTGATTATTTTGTTATTCAATCGGAACCCTAAATATCGAAATTTGAATTTGTATTTCAAATTTACTGATCAATTAATTTTAATTATTTTGAAATATCTAATCTTAATATTTTTCCAAATGTTGAAAAAATCATGTTAATTTCTACATTTTTACGTTTCAAATATTACTAACTTATGTCAGTCTTTGTTGCATTCCTCAGGATTTCCACTTTTCATTATCTCTGTTTGAAATAATTTTTAATTTGAATGCTGAATACCGGTACGGTGGTATCACAATTTGATTTTAATTTGAATCTCGCAAGTTCATAATTCATAATAAATAATTTAATAATAAATTCAATTTTATAATCAAGAATTGATTAATATATTTAATATTTATAGATTGATTAATTTTTATCAGAAACTCTACCTAACTTCTAAAACCAAAAGTTGAGGGCTTTGGACCTTTTTTGAACAAATTTGCACCCTTTCTATCAATACTCTTTCACTTTTAGTTAAGTGCTCGGGAAGGCTATTTACTAGGGGTCAGCAACCTTTTGTCACTCGCGGGTCAAAATTAGGGGTTGCAAGTCTTGGCACATATTTTTAGAAAGTAAAAAACCAAGATGGCCAATGACTCGAAATTTTTTCACACAGATTAGAAGAGGAAAATTAAGGAGACTGCGACAACATGTGAACTCATCCTAGTCGTCTTACTAAAAGAAAAAAAAAGTTACAAATGACATATAATAATGTGATAATTATTGTTGATTAACATCAGTGAGACATCTCTCTAATAAATATGGATTTTATTTCCTCATTGCATTGCTTTTCTGCGCTTTGTTGCCGTTTGTCTAATTATAATTAAATTGTAAGTAAACGAGTAGCTGTTCACTAAATTGTTAGGTTGTAATAGAATTTAATCTACAAGATTCTCCCAATAAAGTTTCTTACGTAATAAATATAGTCGTAGAAACATTTTTTTTTTTTAAAACATTGGTCGCGGGCCGGATTACTTTACTCTACGGTCCGGATCTGAGCCATAGGTTGCAGACCCCTTGCTACATACCTTCGTTTGAGCAAGCTTGCTAAAAACTTACATTCGTTAATATCTACCCCTCGTTCTGAACTGTTATATTTTTTTTTATATCTTTCCTAATCTTATCAACTGTATCTGTGACTCTTATCAATGTGATATTCATTCCGTAGCTTTCTGTTTAAAGTTCAAAGGTCATTGTGAGTTACCTTTCTGCTTCATATATCCTGTGTTTATCTGGTGCCAATCTATGCTTTCTCAAAATCACTGCTTTTTATGTTTATCCAATGAATCTGTAATAAATTGATTTTGCACTGAGATATATTTCTAATTAATGGATTTATTTGGAGTCTGTGTGATTTTAAGTTTAGTTCTCACTGTATTTTATTGTGGGCAAGTTGATCCAGTGTTGAGGTCTCGAGATGAGATGACTTGACTCTGACTTTAATCGCCATTTATCAAAGTTTGGGGTGTACTAGGGTATTGTGTATTGAACTGCAGGTCCTTTCTCCTCGTTTACTTTCTATTCCGGATACGTATGTGGTTGTTGCCACAAGGATGCGTGACTGAGATAGTAATATAAAGATAAATAATCTCTTTCCTCGAAATACCAAGTATATTTATGAGCTTTCGTTAGATCATAGTCTAACTTCTTCAGATAAAGCAAGATATGGCTGCAAATAATAAAGATTAGTAATTAGTTAAAAATTGTAGGATTAAAATTACAGAAATACATTGGTCGGTTAGGTCTATCTCTACTGTGCCGATTCAGAGATTGATACTGGGGGTTTCCAGGTTTGTCCATTTATATGTGTTCCAATGTTTGCATTTGCCGTCTGGTCGGCAAGTTTTATATACTACTGGGTCGCATTTGGCCCGTTTGCCGACTCTTGCTCTAAGTGCTCAACAAACAAATCCAAGTTAAATGAGCAATGGCTGCTTATATACAGCTTTGTTCAAATTATTTATAGTGTATAAAAAATGGCAACTCTGAAAAGGCAATCTCAAGTTTAAAAAGGGTATCTAGTTTGTACTACCGAGAGGAGTTCTTCTCGGCATTTTAATGGTTGCTCCTTTACTTCAAGAGTGTTTGCGCATGTGCATGATGATTTGAGGTGATTTTTTAGTGCTCCCATAGTATGTGAACCAAAATGGCGGGCACCGGAACGTAGTATGCGTACCAGATTAGGTTTGGGCCTAATTTCAGATTCAAATACTACGAGTGTAACTTGGCTAGTGCTTCCAAACTCGTAATAGAACTAGAATAAGGAAAACTGGGATAAAATTATGGCCTAACCCTATTCTGGTGCACATATTACGGTAGCTCTGATTTTTTTTATAAAAAAAGATTTTGACACCATACAAGGCTTTCGATAAGCAGACACTGTAAAAGTGAGAGGCAATTGCATCTTACAAAGCCTTGATCTAATTATTTCTTTGTTCAGAGCTCAAGCACAACAACTACCGCACCCACGACGACGCCTACAGCATCTTCAACCACCACAACTGCTAGTACATCTGCAACAACTACCTTGATAAGCAAAATCATTTCTTCAACTACTGCTAGTACCAAGGGAGGGGAAAGTGCCTCTAAAAGCTCAACATTGCCAAGCGGTGGTGATGACGGAATATCCGGAAATGCAGGTACTACTAAATTATTATTGATACTTAGTTTTATTCTTTATTACTTATCCATTTTGATCGGTGAGTGTGTTGATAAGTATTTGTCTGTTAGATACACGCGATATCTTACGAAAGCGAGATTGAATCTGCTCCAGATTTTGCATGTGCATTCATCATATGTCGTACCAGAAGCCTATTGATTTTGGATGAATTATGTCGTATAATTAGCGAGTTATTAATTAATTAGTGATGGGACACAAGGTGTCACTATGGAGTAAGGGCGCTGTTTTGGGGGATCCCCTAACTTTCGATCGATAAGTCTTCGGTCTCTGACCGATATTCTAGTTTTTGGGCTCCTGAAGTATGCGAACCAAGATGGCGGACATCGGAATGTAATATGTGTACTAGGTTAGGGTTAGGCCATAATTTTAGGTACAAATACTACGAGAGGCACTTGGCTAGTCTTCGAACTCATAGTAGGACTAAAATAAGGGAAATTGGAATAAAATTATGGTCTAACCCTAACCTGTTACCCATGCTACGTTTCGATGTCCGCCATCTTGGTTCGCATACTTCAGGAGCACCCTAGTTTTTCTATTGCAATGAATATTTATAGTGTCAGTGGCTTGATCAAGAGTCGTGAGTTCTGAAAAGCATTTCAAGCAACGGAAAACTGCTATGTATGGTGCTGAAAAATGCTTTTTTTACATTTTAAAGAGGGGTCCGACCTTTCGAAACCCCCAGTCCATGCGATGCCAACGTAGCTAGGGTTAGCCACTCTGGTTCAAATCTTATTCAGATTCTAAAACTGAAATGGGCAGACTATGGCCAGTTGGGTAATTCAATCTGGCCCGCCTGATGCTGCCACAACCAAACAAAAACCTAATTTTGTTTATAAAATGTAACTTTCTACTTCATACTTACATGATCCGCCAGTCTAGATGGGCCAAAATTTTGGCCCCTAGTCCAAAAACCGTGCCCAACTCTGCTCTAAATCCATTTTTTTGTCTCAGGAGCCATGTCTGGAGCCGTCATTGGTGGAATAGTCGGGATCGTAATATTGATCTTTGGAATCCTGCTCATTGTCGCGTTCGTTCATTGGAAACGAAACAAAAATAAGAGGTGAGAGATTTCTTCATGGCTTCTGTGTGCTTTTTTTGCGTGTTTGTATGTGCGAAAATAATAGGCGAGATATTTATTCAAGGTCTGTGTGCTTTCTTTGTGTGTGTGCAAAAATAATAAGTGAGATATTTATTCAAGGTCTGTGTGCTTTCTTTGTGTGTGTGCAAAAATAATAGGTGAGATATTTATTCAAGGTCTGTGTGCTTTCTTTATGTGTGCGTGTCTGCGAAAATTGATTCAGTAATATTTTTATATTCATTTTGGCTTTTACAAAACCGATCATGGTGAAGGAAAATGCAGCAGAAAAATTTATTTTCCATGAAACGAGTAACAACCCAACTTTATATAAAACAAAATTATAAAATATAAAAATACAGGGTGTCCATAAAGTCCTTAAGTTACTGTTTCATTTTGTCTCAAAGTCAGTTCTCGATATATCTCATTCTCAACCAGGTTTGGTGTTGCTGCTTGTTAAGACTTGTTGGTTCTTTCGCCTTATAATATAATTTGTTCCTTTTGAAATTTTTGTAATTTTAGTTTGATCACAAAATAAATTACTGATTAAAATTAAAATTTTTCATTCACAGAATCAATTTGAGCGTCATCGAAACACCCGACGGCAAATCCTTGATCAATGACAATAAAATTTACAAAAAGACGAATTATAAGAAGGTTCAGCAAGATGCAGAGACAACAGAGACATTTCCACTGTAAAAAATAAGTGGTAAAATAAACCTAAATTAGTAGTACGCCCGGAAGAGGCTGGCCAGAGACTGTACCCAAGAATATTGCTGATATTCGAAAAATGCTTTTTAATAATAAATAATTTTTGCGATAATCGTGCATTTTGACGTTTTTTTACAAAGTAATCAAAAAATTATGATCGAGATTTAATAATTTTTTCCTCCTCCCATTGACTTGAAAAAGACTGTACAAAAATGCTCCCTCTCTATTTTAAAAAACTGTAAAATCCTGCATCAAAATACCGAAAAATACCGGAATATACCGGAAAATACCGGAATATACCGAAAAATACCGGAATATACCGAAAAATACCGGAATATACCGGAAAATACCGGAACCCCCTTGACCCAAGAAAAAAATCTCTGGCCTCCCTTTTCCTATGAACCCAAAATTTAGAAAAATTCTTGTCTGGTATGTTATCTTCGTATCATGTACGGCCACACAAATTATTTTTAATGGCCATTTATGATCCGGTGAAAATTTATCACACAAAGTTATATTATATGCATCCATGTGAAATAAGTGTCTGTATGTGTTTTTTATGTGAAATTGCTTTGATTATTTTACCCCCACATTTTTTATTCTCATAGTCAGAAAAACCATCTTTATTAGATTAATATTTTTGTCATTATCTTGGAGAGCAAATCTGAGAAGTTTTTTTGAGAAGAAGTTCAGTTGTAAGTCGTGAATTAGTTTAAAATATAACAAACCTATATTGGTGTGAAAACATAGACTCCGAAATAATTTGGCCTAAAATTGTTCACAGGGCAAAATGAATTACATAGTTTAATTCATGAAGAATACGGTCCTTTGAAAAATATCAATCTTTTTTATGTTTTGGGGTTCAATGCGTACTGAGAACTCTTAAATTTTCATAAATCACTCTTTTAGATGCAAAATATCCATTTTAAATAAGAAAAATCACTTTTCTACAAACCTCACTAGACAATTATGATTACACAATGTTGAAAGATGATGTAACAATGAATCAGAATCAATGCAGTTGCCCATGGTTTGTTACGTCACAAATATTTCTAAAGCCATTTGTTACAATAAGCCTCTAGGGCATACACAAAAGTACGCTTCAAAATATCGCTAGATTGTAGTTTGTGTGTGTGTAGTGCTTCTTGTATTACAAATAATGGTACTCCCTCTATAGTATGTGTACCAGGTTAGGGCATAAGTTTATTCCGATTTTCCTCATTTTAGTTCTCTTACGGGTTCGGGGACTGTCTGTGTTAGCTTAGTGAATATACCATTCCCCCTGCCTATAGGTTTCAGTCCCATATATGAATTGATGTAAAATATGCGAACAAAATTAGTTACCTCCAAATTGGTACACACACTTGTGACTTGTGGAGCGCCCAAAAAATAGGGTGGTTGTAAATTTTTGAATTGTAAAATAAATTATCGATACTATTTACAGTTTGTGGGCTTCTACTGGTGTATTAAATGAAGTAAAATTCCAATCAATTTAATAATTGATTCAATTCAATAATTAACCAATTCTATTAGGTAAATGATTGGCTTTAGGAACAAATTAGTGAGGAATTTGGAAAGTAAGTTTGTGTGATCTTTGTTTGAGCGAATCTCGACAAAATTGTCTGCGTCTTACATCGAAGTCATGGTTAATTCAAAAACCGTTGATTTAGACAAATTGAAACAAAAATCATTGCGCACAAAGACGTCGTTATAATCAATCTATGAGAGCGAATGCTTCGCTCTAGGAACAATTTATTGAGAAATTCTGAAAGTGATTGCGTGCAGCCTTCACTTGAGCAAACGTTCATAAAAGTTGTCTGCGTCTTAGTCTGCTTATTTCAAAAAACGTTAATTTAATAAGACAAATTACTCAAATATCATGGCGTGACTCAAGCCTAAAACGACGTTGTTTTAATCAATTTAGACAGGAAGTTACATCATCCAGGTATTTCCTAAGCTGTATGTTAATCATGGTTTCCGTGGTTACTGATTCGCTCTATCGCACAGATTGTGATGTATTATAAGAAGAGTTTTCTTCACAATATGAACCAAAAATTTTCTTTTTTATCATGTTGAAACGCCCATGTGCTACATAGATCGTAAAAACATTGTTAAAAATAATTAGTCTATTGAATGTCAGAATACACTTCATTCTGAATTAAAGATAATTGAAATTCTTAAATGAAGTATTGAGAATCAATCCCAAATGTAATACATGGATATCCTGTATTGTTCTTCATAACAATATACAGGGTGTCCATAAAGTCCTTTTACAATTTCAATTTTGTTAAAAAGTCAGTTCTCAATATATCTCAACCAGGGTTGTTGTTTTTTCAATCAGTAATTGTTCAAGTATTTTTACTTCATTTAATACATCTGTGAGGGCCAAAACAATATATGGTATCGATAAATTCACTTTGGAATTTGGAATTTTTTTACGGCTGTATGGACACCCAATATATTACCAAACATGGTAGGAAAAACACTGGAATTAGCTCTGTGGTGATTCATCTAAATTATATTCGTTATCTGGCTATTTGTCTAAATTTAGTTTATTTTATGTCACATCATAAACCATGGTTTGGGGTATTTTTGGCGATGAATTATGATGAAATGATATAAATGAATTTGTGGTCTTCTGTGATGTATTAGACTTGATGTCTGATATAGCGTTGCCCAAGGCAGATCGAAAATAAATATATTCGATATTTCTAGTTTTGTACATTTAGGAAGATTTTTGAAATAGCTTCATTTGAAGAACTATCATTTTGATCAATTAAAGACTCACAGTGTGGCCGTGGAAAACCTTTTTTAAATTTTGAGATCGATACGCTGCATTGAACAGAGTTGTAAAATAAAAATTAAATGGTTTTCCTCTTCTATCATTACTTTTTCCACATTTGTTTGACGGCCGACTCTTAAAAAAAAAAATTCAATTTTCTTAGACCATTTTAAATCTTAATGTTCATAAACCATAGCCGTTAATAACAACCTTTTCTCCTTACACCCCACCCTAGTATGCCACACCTAAATACACAAGAAAGCTATTGATATTGCTAAAAGGTTTTTTAACCATTAGTACGTGACGTCTGAATTAACTAGTCTGAATATTCCTATAATAGGTATACCCTTGACTGACTAATAACAGCAGATGACAAGTTTTTACGCTGTGATAATTCCCATATATATATATAATTACTATTGAGCAATGCTTCGATACAAATATAAAATAATAAATTAAATTTACCAGAAAGTAAAAGCAGTAACTAAACTTTTTGGTTAAATAAAAAAACATGCGACCCAAGATAGCCACCGTTATACTGCTATGCATTTGATACTTTGTGTCTTCAAATGCTGATGCACTCCAATACACCAAGTTATACACATTAGAGTTCACGATATCTGTGTGAAAGTGTTAGCTTTAAAAATATTGCAATTCAAGAAAAGTTCCGTAGTTTTTCTATATTATGAAACAGCACTTCTTGTTTGAATTCCTAAATTTTTATTGTGTTTTATTTAAAATATGGAGAATATTGGGGGGGTGCTTAGTTTTTTTTTCCTATGTACTCCCCCCATGTGACTCAGCGAATCTGATATAAAGAAATTAAAATTGTCCATCACGATTATTTGTTTTTTCCTTGTCCTGACGAAGTCAAACGTTTTCTAAATATAGATTAATATGTTGCTGGGAAACCTCTTTTATTCCTATTGTGAACAAATAATCTCAATTGTCGCTTCATAAACGGAGCCAATATGTTTTATGAGTCATGAATCATTGTTCAATTTGCTTTGTCATCTCTCACTATGAACATAAAATAAATATTATTGAGTTATATTCAGCTTAAATGCTAAATTTACATCTGGGATTTGAGTTAACATGGGGAAGTATAAAATATTTTTATTAACATCTTATTCAGTTAGAAATGCAATGTCATTCGCACTTTTATATCTTCACCTCAAAAACATAGTTCACAAAATTAAAATTTTTAATTAATAAACCAGAAATTGTCAAAAATTGTAAATAATTATTTGAAATCATTCTTCAAATTTCAAGTTAACGCCGTTCAAAAAAGTTCCAAATTTGTAGTATTTATTAATCACAGCTTTGCCATAATTTATCGTTTGCTCGTCACTAGAGGTCGCTAAAGAATTAAAATGGTCATTCTTCAGTTACATTTCCCATGTTGAGCTTGGTTAACTTTGTTCATTCAATTATTTTATTTCTACTTGATCTATGCTGGCCTGAAAATGCATCTGATTAATTTGTTTAAATATTAACATTTTAAATATTTTTGTGTAAAATTCATGACATTTTCGTATTGTTTTTCACCTATATTTTTGGTTTTGACACAACCTACCGGTGATGGTACCAGGGCCATCCATTTCAAAAGTCATTTTCAGTCAATTTCCACAGTGTAAATTTTGTTCAATATGTTTGAAAAATTATTAAATTAAGTCCAATAAATATAATAACATCTGAATTCATGTAACTTTGACAACATCTTATTTATTACTAATATTACGATCCTGAATGGCTATGACCATGTTTTCTAGTGAGAAATCGAAAGCCATTTTTCTTTAATGATCTATATCCAGTAATATCACTTTTATCACAAAGGGGGTTCTCAAACCTTCATTCTCTCGTTTGCCCCCAGTGAAATTTAAAGGGAAATCCCCCCCCCCATTTCAATGATATAATAGTATTGCTTTTCACAATGGCTTTGTTGAAAATGAGAAGTCCATATAAACAAAAATGCTTTTTAAACACGAATATTGATTATTACAACTTCCTTCAGCCATTTGTTTTTATTGAAAAATTTCAACCTCTTGACCTTTTAAGAGCTGAGATTAAGTTTTAATATTATTTATAATTACCCCCTTCCATATGTTGGTCGAAACATTTAGTTTCCATGTTAATTACCGTGAAAAATGTTGATTTTACTGAATATTTCCAAATGTTTTTGTACAGAAATTAAAAATTTTTTGTGATGATTTTTGTGAAATTTGTCTCACTGTGTATTTGACCTTGCTTTTTATGAATGACCTTGATTTCAAAATATATGACTTTAAAAAATTAATCGATGTTTGAACCGGTATTTCTCAAATTTTTGTGATGCGTGGCCCTTTTCAGGAAACTTAAAAAATTTGTGATCTTGTTTTTCCTTGAAAAAACACTATTTTGCTTTTAAGCGTTACCATCTGTTATTTTGGAGAATCCAACAAATAATTTACTTTAAATGTATGAAGTCATTGCATGTGGCATCTAGTAATGGCTCCCTAACCGCCCGGGGGGACTTAGTTTGAGAAACACTAGGTTTAAACAATTATTTGTATATTCCATTTTTTACAAATTCCTAATAATTTTGCACCAAAATTTGTGCTACATTTTATAAAGTGCTAACTATTTGATTAACGACCCAAAAATGTGACGAAATTTTCTGATTTTGGGGTTTTTATTTATTTTTCATGCGTGCTGTGCTTATATTAACGTATTTTGTATCTTACTTTATTAATTATCGCCTATTGAATTGGCTAAAAGCTATTTTACTGGGATTGCCGCCATATAGATGTAGGGTCCCCGTAGTCATTATAGCTTAGTTTATGGGGGCTTCCCCTTGATTTTCACTGGGATGAAATATCAAATTACCTCCTTCGCAGTTTTGCCAGTATGGCCCCCATCTTCGATTTTTATCAAAGCAAAATTCCACTCCCACCTGATAGGTTGCAAAACCACCCAGGGGTGCAACAATTTGCTTTGTGCTTATTTAGCGCCTTTCACGAATTGTAGAGAATTTTATAAAAAGTCTCTGCAACCTCTGATAAGTACTCCCCTGTACAAGTTCCTCCTAAACAAAGAGCAAAGCCAGGGGGTGTCAGGGTCGGAACCCCCTCCTTTCAAAATGTAGAAAAGGACATTATTCAGTACCACACTTGGAATTTTTTTGTAGATTAAAACGCTTTTTTAAAACCCTCAAGACATTTGAAAACTCATGTTTTACGGCTGGACCCGATGGCTGTTTAAGTCCAACTCGGCAATCAGAAATTTAAGGACTCTACTTTAAAAGTTTCTGGCTACGTCGCTGCCCCAAACAAGGGTAATGTGTCAGTTGTTCTTGTTTATCACCTTGCTCTGAGATGGCACTCTAAAACTGTCTTTGCAGACCCTTATTAAGAGAGTAACATCTGAGTACTCCTTTAACTTTTGATTGAATTTTTACTTTATTGCTTTCTATTCCTTTGTCGGAGCTGCTAAGCAATAGCTGTTATTTATTTGTCAAATGTTGGTTGAAAGCAAAATGCTCACAATACCAACTCTTGATAAATTCCTTGTTTTTAATTTTAGCTTTTGCTTTTGTTGTTTTTCTCTCAAATCTTGAAATATTAAAAATTATTTATGAAACAGTTCTATGCTTGTTGGTGTCAGTCAGTAGTTTATTTTAACACAAACCGAAAGTACAAATTGGACAAACACAGTTCAAGAAAGATGAAAATTGCATTTCAGTGTGAAGGGAGACGAGATAAACCAGTGATGATTATCGAGCAGCGTTACTTTTGAGGGAGTGAGTCTTACATTAAATCATACTGAGAAAAAAAAGTCAAACATGAAATACTAACAAAAGCCGGACTTTGAGACACATTTTTGAGAGATGTTTGAGGGGGGGAAACTTCAAAGACAACTCTCGATCTTTTGATTACTTTTAACGCCAATCCGGACCTTATCATGCCTTTTAGAGGCCCATAGCCAGAGCTGGGCAAATCATGGCCCGCGGGCGGGATCAGGCCCACCGAAGTGTTACATCCGCCCACTTATTGTTGCATTGTTCGCGGGCCATAATAGTGCCAAGAATAGGTGAACAGTGCAATACAAAACAAACAGTTTTTTGTGCAAACACATAGTTATCAGGCATAGCCATTCTGGGCTAATTGAATCCGCATTTGATTTTTAGTTTTCTATGATGCCTATATTGCTAGCATATATTCCCGACCAAAAAGTTAGAAAGCCAGATAACAATTTAGACTGCCAAGCCAATCACTAAACTTCGCTAGTTTTCCCTGCTAGCCATTCCACTATTAAATTCAGTGACATTAGTGATGACAATATGTCAAAAGGTTTGTCAAACACGAAATGCGATTTTTTGATTACTCTCCGAATGTGACGCGGGCCACAGATAATGAAGCGGCGGGCCACATGTAGCCCGCGGGTTTGAGTTTAGACCACCCTGGTCTAGCTATTGCAAATACATGTTTTTTCATATTGAGTTCAGATCCTGCAGCCAAGTAACCCCCTCAAAAAAGTAATTCCCCACCCCTGCCCTAAGCACTTAAAAAAGGGCGCTCCCGTAGCATGTGAACCAAGATGTTGGGCACCGGAACGTAGTATGTGTACCATGTTGGGGTTAGGCAATAATTTTAGTCTATTTTTCCTTATTTTAGTTCTATTAAGAGTTCGGGAACTAGCCAAGTGACTCCAGTAGTATTTATTATGACCTAACCCTAACTTGGTACACGTTATACGTTCCGGTGTCCGCCATCTTTTTAAGTAATAACAATGACGAAACTGTTTTTCATTGCTGTTTCAGGTAATGATTGATTTACATAACATTTTTGCGAATAGTTCTCGCGCTTCCAAACAAAGAAAAATAAGCAACAATTTTGAGACCTCAACAATATTGAGGTCTGAATATGTATTGTGCGGGGGAAACTTAACTTAAACTCTGTAAGTTCATGTAGGCCAGGGGTTCTCAAACTTTTGGTGTTACGGAGCCCCTGAAGAGGATGACTATTATTCACGGAGCCCCACAATAAATTTTAAAATTGTTACTTACTAATTAATATTCCTTAGTTAGTTAAAATTACTTTACTCAATTTCAATGCTAAACCTTTTTAATAAGGTTAATACAAGCCATGAATAAATTTAAATTTCACAGATAAATTATATATATTGAGGCTGTAAATTTGACACTTGATAAACATATTAATAAATTCGGGGTCGAACCTCCCTTCTGATATTTTTGAAAACTGAAAAAACGATAATAACGTGAGCGATTGCATCTTGATAAAATCGCCAATTATTTTCGTCAGTTTGATATGTTTTTTAGTCCGTAAACATTTGCACGTCGGTGTTTATTCTCCTTAAATCACAAATTTTCCTCGGCATATGCATAAATTGTTCCACGAGGAATTCAATAATTGCTTTTTGTTCTCGTGTGGAATTATGAGTTCAGTGTGAAAAACATGTCATTTTAAATATGCCCCCATCGGTCAGGGATTGCGTAATTGTGAGTTGTACTCATGCAGATTTTAACGCCGACCTTGAGATTTTATCGTGCTTAAAAATAATCTTCTGTGCTGAAAGATCAAATCCAATTTGACGAATCCCAAGATCGTAAAAATGCGATTTCAATCTATTTATAGTTGGTACTTGGCAGTTCAAAACCTTTTTTATGTAATTTTAGAATAGTAATCTTTCATTTTAGTAATCGTAATATAGACGAAAAGACAAGTAGCGATGAACACAATTAAATTATCGTGCTCGCGTCGGCCATAGATTGAATATTTTACGCAACAGAAAACTCGTTTTCTGCTGAAAAAGTCTTTTTTTTTTAACGAGTGGCCTAATCGCGAAGAATGTTGCGCGAGAATTTCCGATTTCAATTTTGAACACCCACCTCCCACTCTTTCAAACTCCTGGCTCGCTCCTGCTTGTAGATAATGTCCTATTTGAATTACCGCCTTGCGATATTTCGACGCTAATGTTGTCACATTATATGAATGCCGTTATTGCGTCTTTGGACAGTTACAAAATTAGACAAGTAATTGAATAGCCCGCGGAGCCCTTAGGTTTCTCTCACCGAGCCCTGGGGCTTCGTACGGAGCATTTTGAGAACCTATGATGTAGGCGTTCTGCGTTGTAAACACACTTTGGAAAAATTTCATATACACAACTTCCATCGTATTCTATCGTTTAGATTGGGCGGATCGCGTTTGCTATAATTTTTAGTAAGCTGAAATGATTCAATAATTAGCTGAAATTTGACAGAGAGCTTGGCATATAGATGGTGATCGTCCAAGTCAGGGCTCGGCAACCTACGGCTCGCGGGCCATATCCGGTCGCCGCATAAAATAATCCGGTCCACGGTGCTTCAAGGAAATTTAGCAACAAGACAGCGGCTGCGAATTTTTACCATGAATCACAATGTCATTTGTAAATTTTTTGCCTAGTAAGACGAGTCCGCTAGTTGTCGCAGTGTTTCCTCGATATTACAAGTCTAAAATTTCAACTTCTGATCTGTGTGGATAATGTGATTCATCAGCCACCCGTCCCGTTGTTATCTTTCTTAATAAATATGTGTGGCTCGCCAAGATTTGCAACCCTTAATTATAGCCTGTGAGCTACAACAGGTTACCGACCCCTTGTCGCAGTCAATATTCCATAATCAGAGAGAAGAGAAAAATCCTGATGTCCTTGGGACGAATTTTGCTCTGTATTTTTTGTTATATTATTATGATTGTGATACTTATATATCATGCGAAATAATACTTTGTGAGAACAGCCTTGTGCGGTGAGAAAATGTGAAATGATGATTTTTCTATTAACTAACCACAGTACCGGTAGCATATGCGACTTCTTGTGATCCGTTACCTAATCTTTTAAATATAAATTGCAACTCTCACATCGGTACCGGTGATGTCTTAGCAATGAACTCATCATGCTATTTATATAACTAGAGTTTTCTAACGACCTAAAATCGCCTTTTTCACAATAAAACGCCGAAAAGTCATTTAATTTGAATCAACTTTATGTTCGGTGAAGCAAAAAGTAACTAATGACATGTCACCAAGCATGCGGAGTTTAAAATCTGGGAAATTTATTTTAGATACCTAATCTGGTTTGACGTTTCTAAATTTACGGAACGGTCGGTACGTTTTTTTGCGAAATATATAATTGAAACGATACGTTAATTAAGTGCAAAGATAAGCATATATCACAATAACGCAAAGACAACGACTTTTCAAATTTGTCGTTTTTTTTCTGATAGCGAGCGCCGCTGGAAAATCTCGCACAATTCACGTTTGAGTTGCAGACGCGCGAGTTCGGTGTCTAATCAGAGCGGCGCAGGTCACGTGGTACCGGATATTCGAATAGTATAATGCCATTGCAATATTTTCTTATTCGATTCGTTATTCGAATATTTTGCCCAGCCCTAGTTGTTACGTGTGTTGTTGTTACGATGACTTGGTATTTTAAATACGTGCTTAAGTTTTGTTGCTATTTTACCTTGCGTTGTTTGTGTGCGGCTCTCCATAACTTTGAGGTTTGAAATTAGTTTGAGAACCACTGGGCTATAGCGTTAAAACAGAAACGATTTCCTTCTTAAAGCTGGGAGGTTTAATATTTTTTTGAATCAACTGAGTGATGTAATATTCTCCAGGCTTTGTGTAACCAGATACTCAAGTGATGTTTTTCAGTTTAATACCGCATGGAATGGTTTAATATTGATATTCCAAAGTTATTATTATGTAACGCAATGCATCACGTGGACGAAACTTAACTAGAGATGCCATGTCATGTGGGCGTTCTGTGTTGTAAACACATTTAGGTACAATATCTTTCATATACACAATTTATATCATTCGTATTCTGTCGTTTAAAATAAGCGGATCGCTTTAGAAAGACTTTACAGTGGGAATGGGCAAGAATTTTGAACTAGGGGACAAAAATTTCGCCCGTATGTGTGACGTAAAAGTTTTATTTTATGAAAAATATTTACAGTGTTACTAAAGCAAAAGTGGACAACATTAAGCCTCGTGCTAAAACAAAATTCAATCGCAATCTCAACAAATTCCTTGAGCTATGTTTTAGCTAAAACAGCAAATTTGATTGTGTGTGCTTTAGGCGGGTCAGATTAAATTACCAAACAGGCCGGATTTGGCTGCTGGCCGTAGTTTGCCCAAATTAGCGCTTTAGCTACAATCTTTAATTTCTGCGTCATCTTGAGTGGAAGTGGTGACTCCTCTGCGGCCCATATTCCGGGGCCTCGGCCCATCAAGTTGGGTAAAGGGACTATTCACTTGGCTAACACAGTCAGTCCCCGAACTCATATTAGAACTATAATGTGAAAAATCTGAACAAAATTTTGTCCTAACCCTAACCTGGTACACATACTACAGGAGTATCCTTTTCTGTTGCTTGGTATTTTGCTTTATTTTTGTATAAAGGCTTATTGTAAGAAAAAAAATTGGAGGCATCCCGCGATTTTTTTCGGTTCGAATATTGACAATTTTGTAAAAATTGAAATTTTGTAAGATAATTGAATTTTTCCTGATGGGGCCGCGGTCCATGTGGTAAAATTAGATGGGCCGTAGCCCCGGCCCATTGGCCGTAGAAGAGTCACCACTCCTGTAGCTCGGTACGCCCGGGAATGTAGGTTTGCAAGAACGGTCTTTCGCGGGAATGTAGGTTTGCGAGAACGGATTTTCGCGGGAATGAAGGTTTGCGAGAACGGACTTTCGCGAGAATGTAGGTTTGCGAGAACGGACTTTCGCGGGAATGTAGGTTTGCGAGAACGGACTTTGACGGGAATGTAGGTTTGAAAGAACGGACTTTCGCGGGAATGTAGGTTTGCGAGAACGGACATTGGCGGGAATGTAGGTTTGCGAGAACGGACTTTGGCGGGAATGTTGGTTTGCGAGAACGGCCTTTCGCGGGAATGTAGGTTTGCGAGAACGGACATTCGCGGGAATGTAGGTTTGCAAGAACGGACTTTCGCGGGAATGTAGGTTTGCAAGAACGGACTTTCGCGGGAATGTATCTTTGCTAGAATGGACTTTCGCGGAAATGTAGGTTTGCAAGAACGGATTTTCGCGGGAATGTAGGTTTGCGAGAACGGACTTTCGCGGGAATGTAGGTTTGCGAGAATGTAGTGTGTAGCAGTTGATCTCTTGCCGATCACTAAATAATGAGTTCCGTTCACTTTGAGTTCTTTTTATATTCCTCTTTTTTCGAGGAAATATTTTCGAAAAGTAAACAAATTATTATCCCAGTGCCCTATTTGGAGCTTATATTACATCAAGTAGGCAGTTATAAACCTAAAATACCTTTGGATATTTTTACAGATATTTACTTTATATCTAAGCATATAGTTGTATCATCAAATATTCCTAGAAGAAAACATGGACTTCGTAAAAATACTGTTCTTTCTCTCTTTCGTCTGTGGCCTCGTTGCGGCGCTGAAAATACCGCGTAAGATTTGTTTTGGATACAATTGCTTGATATATTTTAATCATTCTTTTATACATCCTACCCCTGGTATCAGCAATACTATAATAAAATAAATTTATGGATAATTTCAAAACATATCACACTCAGCTAATAGTCCGGTAGCACCTTTAGGCGACTGCGACTACGATAGTCTAATGTGACAGATTGCATACTCATACTAATTCGTTTTGGCATTTGTGTTCATATCTTTGAGAATCTCTCTTTTGTTTAAAGTATCACTTTTTTTTGACAGATGGAACCTGCGTTTCCAAGATCGTGAATGGGAAACTCGTCCAAGTTGGAGAATGCAAGGTAAAAATAAGTTGTTATTTTCATCAGGTGTTTTCATATTTCAGCTCTAAAAATACTTTAGACGAAAAGACACTTTCATGTAAAACGCCAAGATTTTTTGGAAGGAATTGAAGCTTTTCGGGTTGACATTAGATGAGGATTGGTTGATCCTACTTGTGCAAGCCAAGCAAATAATATTACTCTAATACAACTTACGTGTTATATTTACTCTCTTGATCATCTGCATTTTTTATTTATTTCACAGAAAAACGATGAATCCGGTGAGTTCTTCCTATTGCATGATATATATATATTTTAATAATATTTATTCTGGTGAACGACTTCTTGGACTAGCCAGGTTGCTCTCCCGAAAAGACGCGCACTATCAGCACAAGATATTATTTTTGGACACGTAGTGGACATAACGATCGTTTCAAAATTTTGTTGTTATTGTTAGTTTCATTATTATTTGTCTCCATCATTTTAAAAAAAATCGATTTCCTGTTCGAATACTGGACCAATTGCTTTGAAATTTTCAGTGGTTGAAAATAAAATTTTTCCCCAAAAGGCTATTACTTTTATTCATTGTAAATATTTCTGTTAGCTCTGTGAGATTTGTTTTTGTTTGCTATGACGTCGTTAAACGTTCTGCGGACATCGGACGCCATTTTGTGTCCTACTGTACTGCTTCGCTTGGTGTGAATATATTTGTAGACTGTGATCTGACGGTACGGTAAATCGTACTGTACTGCGAACAGACGTGTCCATATATTTGGGCGTAGCTCTCTTGTTTGTGTTGTGTTGCAAACAGTACGAAACAAGGCATTCGATTTACTGTTCCGTACCGCCAACTAGCTACAAAATATTGGTGATTGTCATTGCTTGAATAATCAATTTATAAAAACCTAAATTATAAATTGAACATGAGGTACTTAGTTGGATTTAACATCATAGCTACTAGGCAATCGGCCACTGCGATGAGCAAGTGTTTATCTTTGCGTATTCTATATAACAACGCCTTATCAGATAAGGCTTATCCTACACGAATATAATATATCAATTTTCTCACAGAAATTGCCAGACTGATCAAGAAAAGTCTTGATGAGAAGAAAAAAGCTGGAAGTAATTCATATTTGTGTTTCATAGTTTGACTATAGAATCTGCCACACCCTAAAAATGCTAAGAGGAGATTTTCATAGCGATTGTGATTAAATGTAGATTTAATTTACTAAAGTTATTTACTAATGGATTAGTTTCTCAGTTCTTCTATCAGCTTTCCGCTCCTTGGAATCAACAAAATACAATATTTCAATATAGCAACAAAGCAGATTTTTATCCCAGATGTGAAGACGTCATTTTAGGTCGTTTCCCTTTTTTTGTTAACATGAAGTATTCAATGACCCAAATAATGTTTTTAGGTAAATGTGACTTCAAATACGATTCGAAATGCTTCCGGCTAGTTGTGTATGATGCATGGAACGTCACCTTCAACGATGCTGAATCAATTTGCAAATTAATGTACAACGGGAAACCCGCGAATATTTACGACCTCACTCACTACCTGATCTTGCTTTCTCATATGCGACCACTGATACCTACTGGTCAGACATATACTTACATCTGGACTGGGATGGAGTATAAGGTCAGTTTATAAGTCACACATCTCAGCCTCACATTCCCGTTTACTTTTTTAGGATTTCTTTTGGTAATTTCTGTTTTACATCTTGTTACAACAATCAAAACAGATTTATAACTGCTTATTTAATTGTTACAGAACAATCAGCTTTTGCTGTCAAGTGGAAGAAATATCACACTGGCAACTGAAGTGTGGTATCCTGGTCTTCTGCATCCAGATGCATCGTCGACAAATGTTGCAGTTATTGTCTATAAATATTCAGAGAATACATTAGATCGGGGATTGTACAATGGACCACCATCCTCGGCAACCAACGGTGTCATCTGTGAGATATGAACCAAATTAAAACCTGAGTAAACTTAGTTGACGGATTGATCGATATAAAAAGACAAAACAAAACAATGACTTAACTGTAATGTGCATAGATAAACGTTTCCAGTTTTTTTTTGTTTGCTTTTCTATGGCCATTGATTCTATCGATTCTAACCGAGTTATTATTGACCCGTGTCTGATTATGCATAAATTATGAACACCCTATAGAATAGATCAGTGGTTCTCAACCTTTTACCGACCGCATACCACTTTGGTGTGTTTTATTCTGGCCGCGTACCACCGACGAAAGCTATTTTGTGGCGGGGGAACAATGGCACGAGAAATGCGCTATGGTAGTATTTTATATGGCACTGCATCGATTTTAGATCTTCGTTCAAAGTTTCAACGTATTAATTATATGCAGTAACAACGTATTAATTGCGTACAAAATCACGAAAGTTTTTGCGTCGTTTACCGTCAGAGCTGAAAGGCTTTATTCATCGCCTACACTGAATTATCGCAAAATTCTGACAAATACACTTTGGTCGACGATATCCGCTATCAGGAACTGCCTGATCTAGTCTTCTAATTATTTGGCCCCAAAAAGTCAGAATTATTGCGATCAGCCGACACATACATCAGGCAGTAATGGTAACATCTTTATGATGTATCCAGGCTCTATCAGGGTATCTCGGCACGCCTCGACCACTCCTTCCGAAATCCGAACGCTCCCTTCGTTGCCGAATTCTCAATGCAGATGCACTGTAACACGTAAAACGGGCGAAAATATGCCTGTCTCGTTTCTTTTTAGGTGGGAAGTAGCGAGCGAGGGCGCTCTATAAAGAGAAGGATTGGTAATGCTATTCAGCAAATACATTCAGTAATGGAAGATAAAGTGAAAGCTTTTCTGCCATATTTTAGCCACCTCAAAAGTCGGTTGTTGCAATAGTTCAAAGCTTCTCGCGTACCACGTGGAAAGCCCCCGCATACCACTAGATGATCCAAACTTATGAAATAGATGATCCAAACTTAAATTATTCTTTATTGCAATGATGTCATTATAGTCATATTGTCCGCAGTCAGTGAAAGCATTTCAATCATATTTGAAGTCACATTTACCCAAAAACATTATTTGGGTCATTGGATATTTCATGTTATAAAAAAAAGAAAAACGACGTAAAATGACCTCTTCAAATCTGAGATAAATCTGCTTTGTTGCTATTTCGAAATATTGTTTTTGTTAATTTCAAGGAGAGGGAAGCCGAGTCTTTGAATACCCCAAATTGCTATCTGATGTATTGCGTGGCTCTATGACACAACTTAGTGTCATGACGATTTCCCGTCAAAAGAATACTAATTAATAATAATATATTGATCTTCTAAATCTTAATTAGATATCAGAACCTTGGGTGTATTTTATTTATGAGACTAAACTTAAGTTAAATTACTAATGTTTGTATTTGTGCATTTACATTCATCAGTGAAATCGGCCTGTGATTAGATTAGACACATTGAAAGTTCGTCTTGATAAGTAAAACTCTTCGGTAGGCTTGCACGTAATTTACGGATTTACGGAATTACGTAAGTATTTGGAGTTACGGAAGGAAAGTTACGAATTACGTAAAGTCGTAATTACTGCATTGAAACGAGCTTTCTTCAAAGCAGTCAATTTCGTCGATTGCGAAAAATGGAAGCTCAACAAGTAGAAGAGAGTTCCGGTATTCGCAGCCGTTTTTCTCTCTCTTGTTACGTAGGTGAAGGAAGGCATGACGCGTTGCCATTTACTAACCTATTATCAATTTCTCTGGCATGGCCAATGTAAATTATTAACGTAGTTAAGGGGGAAGAACTGAGTAGGGCCGTTTGACGCCAACACACCTGGTTTTAACTTCTCCCGTAACTTAACCGTAGATAAGGGATAGAATTGCGTTGAGACCGATTGATGCCAACACACCTGGTTTCAACTTCTCTCGCTTCTTATCTAGCATGACCATGGCCAATGTACATAACGAGAATATCGGTTGGAAACCGAAGACTTATCGATCGATAGCTAGGGGATCCCCCAAAACAGAAACTGCAGTTTCGATTCATCCGCTCTTGTAACTTGCGCACTGCGCATCGCACACACACACTCGGCGGGTTTCAAAATTCTCTCGCTTTACAAAAATCTAGATCACTATATCAATAATTGATTGATAACTCGCTAATTATACGACATAATTCGCCCAAAATCAATAGGCTACTGGTCCGAGATAAGATGAATGCACATGCAAAATCTGGAGCAGATTCAATTTCGCTTTCGTGAGATATCGCGTGCATCTAACAGACAGACAGACATACATACAGACAGACATACATACAGACAAATACCTATCAATATACTTACCGATCTTAAGATCGATAAGTAATGAAGCATGGTAATCGGAATATCGTCAATAAGTCGACATCAATAATTATTATTATAAAATGCTAACAAGGCAGTAATGTCGGATAATGCAGAAGACGCTGCAAAAACAAGTCTTCGTCGCGAGGAAATCGCAAGTATAATCAAACGAGAGAATACGCTCGTCGTTAGTTAATAAATTAGAAACCCGTAATTTTTATTCAGCACTAAGGTGGTTTTAAAAAACTATCGTTTCCATAAATATCCGTATACCAGTGTCGGTATTGATAAAATAAAATTGATCGCATAAAAATGGGACGGTTAATTTGCGAAGGTGATAAATGAAAACCAAAGCCAACACAAAATATAAAAATCAGAATAAAATTAATTTGAATTCACTCCTTGATATTTGTCTTTAACATCTGCCGACGGCGTGTAGTACTGCCAAGAATATGAAAACCCAACGTCAATGTCCCATTCGGAAAAGAAGTGGATTTAATTGGTTGTTATGATAGGTTTAAATGCGTGGAAAAATATCGCAATTACGGGGTCATTACGTAATTGATTTTGCCGTAATTACGGAATTGATTTTTGTCAATTACGTGCAAGCCTACTCTTCAGCGTTTTTTACTTATATTATTCTTGTCTTATTATGTGACCCATGCCTTGAATTGGTCTATTGACTTTGTTCAAACCATTTTTTCACTTAATAACTTTTTAATTTTACTGAATCGCGACAAATGAATTATGTAACGTAAAGGGATTGGAATTTTGTGCAAGCAACAGATTAAACTAAAATCTCGTTTCGCGTGCCGCACACTATTCAAAATTGGCACTTCTTTGCGGGAAGCAAAATTTCTCCTCGAGGGACGCATTTGACCCGCTGGCCGCAGGTTGTACGCCCCTGGTCCATTGAAACCATTTGCGCACCTAATTAAACAATTTTTAATTCCACTAAATAGCTTAATTTTGCAATGTCTGTTTTCCAGGCATCAAAATCGGATTTTATTTTTGAGAAAAGACTAAATTACGGGCTTTTCGAAGTTATACAACTTAAATTTCTAATCACACTGAAAATTTTTTAATATTGAGGTGAATCTTGACTTGAGTGAATTACTGATATTTTCATTCCACATGTTTGTGGAAGCATGTTTGTCCACAAGTATGTTTGTATCGATAAATAACTTGCTTCTACCTATATTATTTCTTTACTATCAAGTATTCAATGCATTGAGTATAAAAGCTTGTCTATTGAAATATTTTTCTCTGAATATAGAATTCAAAGCTGTTTTATTCTATGTGGTTTTTGCCACGGTATTCAATCGGGCTAGGGAAGGGGTTTTAGGGGCGGTGCGTCATACGGGTTATTTCACTTTCACTTGACCTTTAGTCATAAATTCCCATGTATAACAACATCTATTATATGTTTATCCCCAAATTATTTTTGTGGTAAGGGGCATGATTATTAGAAACTCTACATCTTAGATCTTCTGCCCAAAACGGCTTCTATTATGGCCTCTACTACGCTCGCCTCTGCTACCACCAATACATAAGCTAATTAATAGAAGATGCGGTAACTGTGGAAAAAATGAATCTGAATCTCGATCTGAATTGAAAGGTTTGCATTAGAAAATGAAAACTGACACTTGATTCACCCATTCTGAACAACTCTGCGGTTCCTCGATACCGTCCGTCTCTCAGTCATGTGAGAAATATGTTTTACCAAATCCTGGCGTGCCCCCCGTTGTCACAGATTAGAGTATAGAGTTTTGCTACTGTAATTATCGGATCAGAAGACTCAAGATCCCGAACTGGTGGTTATTCATTGATAACTGCAACTCGATGCTTCAAATAGCAGAAACACCAGGCGCGACTGGTAAACGAGCTGACCCCCGGCACGACTGCTGAATAAAAAAGCAAAGGGTATTTTTTCTCGCGCCTCATCGGTGGTCGGAGTCTCATAATACCAATTCGGATATCGACACAGAACTCATTTCCGACAAAACAGCATCGATTTGGGTGAGCATGATAATATATAAAAAATATGCCTACAATGTAAAAATGAACACTATGGTCCGTGGCAATACCAAGTTAGGAGATATGAATAGTCGATTTAGGAAAGTTTGCATACGCCAAAATATTTGTTATTAAAATTGTTGTTGTTCGGGAGCAAGGGCATGGCTGAGAGGCAATTTAAGACACAAATTCTTACGCCTTTTCCAACATCATTTTAGTATATCCTTGAACGATTTACGGAAAACCCGGACCTTTTCTAGGCATCTCAGAGTACATTAAGAGCAGAACGCGCAGTGATTGCACAGAAAATGAAACGAAAATAAAATGGTCCGCGAGCTCAGCATCGGGAAATAGCGACAGCTCACTAACGTCTGTGAACTGAAAATATGGAGAACCAATCAATATTGTCATCCTGCTCTAGGCGAGAGGGGTGCAACACACGGCCTGCCCGGGAAACATATTTATGTGGCCCAAAAAGGTATGGTATCCCAGTACTATATATTTTCTTATTTGTAACGGTGCCATCGACGTTTTATGTCACACTGGGATGTAAAGTCACCCCTGACAAGGATTCAAAATAGTAATTGTCTTCTTGATGCCATTCTGTGATTAAGAAAGTTGAAATGTTGGTTGGCTATGGAAGGCGCGTGGACGACAATGAGCTGTGTATGAATTACTCATGTGGTTAGACGGGTTTGTCAAAGTACAATATTAAGATACACTATTATACAAAACACCCTGTTAGCTACGATAGCATTGTGGATCAGTTACGGGTTGAAAATATTCATAGAAAAGTGTCTTTGATAAAGAAATATACAGTAAAGCAGGAGAAAATTACATACAAATGTTTATCACAAATGAGCCATTCATGAAAATGGTCTCCATATTTTATAGGAGATATGTGTAAGGCATTACAAAAATCACGCATAAAAATAAATAATTTTCTTTCGGCATTATATACTTCTGTAAGTAGTTTATTGAAATATATATGAGGCTGTGAACAACAAAAATCAGCACGGCTTACAGATGGGCATATTCTAGTTTCAATAAGTTGTTCGGTAGTCTGACCATTGGTGTAACCAGAATTCAACGATTTTGGC